ACATACATATATATATATATATATATATATATGTGTGTGTGTGTGTGTGTGTGTGTGTGTGTGTATTTTAGTATTATATATTATTAAAATATATATATTTTATATATTAAAATATTAGCACATTATTTTAATACATTTTTTATAATTTGTTATTGTAATATGGTATATTTATTTTTCTTGTCATAATTGTTTGTGTATAATGCATTGGCAATATTATATAAAAACACAATATATATAAATTATATATATATAATTTCAGTAATTTCTTTTATAATTGCAGTATTTTTTTGTATGCATGTTTTTGATTTTATATACATATTAATTCATTTTAAATAAATAAATAAAATCCCAAATAAACATTTATCAAGACATTATGAACAAAACAAAAAAAACTGAAATATTAAACGGGTAGCCTTTGATTATATTGATCGAAGCAACAGTAGGTTTCTGAGGGTGTGCAGCTGAACATGAACTTCTTTTTCACCTGATATTTGTTTGGCCCGACAGCAGCCATCCAGATGCCCATGCTCACATCCTCTCCCTGCAGAAACACACATTTACATCCTCTGAACCCATTCTGCAGATGATCCCATTAGACTCAGTGTCCAGGACAAAAGAATGAATGAAATCCTTACTGATGTATCTGCAAGCACTGATCTCATCTTTGCTAAACTCTAAAGAAATCATCACTTATCAACAGACAGAGGTGTCACACATGCTACTGTGGATTTCAGTTCATAGGAGTTTTTTATTATAATACAGCTGCATGCTGGGTAATTCCAACAAACAGTGCTTTTCGTCAAGCCCATCATGTTTTGATCTGTAGGTAACATGAGGAGAGGACGGTACCTGGTAAGCTTTGAGATGTTGAGCGTTGCAGGCTAGCCACTGCACCAGATCCCTGGACACCACGTATCCAGATCCACAGGCGAAGGCCGGATACACTGGACTCGAGTACTCCAGCTCCTGCCATTTCCCCACACGATCCACGGCCCAGTTCTGCCTGAAACTGACCAACAACAGCCATGAGATCAAACATCTCTGATGATAAACCAATTATTCTTTTGCCAGAAAACGCTTCTCACTTATATTTTTAGATATATATTAAAAAAATCATAGAAAATATATAAAAATGTTATATAAAACAACTATAACAAATATATAACAATTTATATTTTTAGATAAGAATAACAAGCATACGTCCTTTCAACATATTATTCTTTTGCACGAAAATGGTTCTCACTTATATTTCTATATAATTTCTATATTTAAAAATATCACTTATATAGTTATAAATTATATAAATATATAAAACTGTAATATAAAATATATTTAAAAAAATTATAATTTTAGAAAATAGGCGTACTTTTTCTAAAAAAGTATTACTTTACCAGAAACCTACATTTTTAGATATATAAAAAGTTATCTAAATATATAAAATATATACAACTTTAATATTGAATATATTTAAAAATTCTAATTTTAGATAACAAGCATACTTCCTTACAACAAATTATTTTACCAGAAAATGTTCGTCATTCATATTTTTATAAATTATATAAATTATATAAATATATAAAACTGTAATATAAAATATATTTAAAAAAATTATAATTTGGCGTACTTTGCGTACTTTTTCTAAAAAAGTATTACTTTACCAGAAACCTACATTTTTAGATATATAAAAAGTTATCTAAATATATAAAATATATACAACTTTAATATTGAATATATTTAAAAATTCTAATTTTAGATAACAAGCATACTTCCTTACAACAAATTATTTTACCAGAAAATGTTCGTCATTCATATTTTAGATATATATAAAAATTATATAAATATATAAAACTGTAATATAAAATACATATATTTAAAAAAAAAATCATAATTTTAGATAACAGGCATACTTTCTTTCTACAAATTATTCTTTTTACCAGAAAATGATTGTCACTCATATTTTTTTATATATAAGAAATATATAAAAATGTAATATAAAATTTATTACAAATTTATCATTTTTAAAAACAAGCATTATTTTTTATTATTCTTTTACCAAAAAATTATTGTTACAATGTAATATAAAACATTTTTTTTTAAATGCATTGCACTGAAAACTTTTATGATACTACCAAAAGCATGAATTACACTGATATAAGTTTAAAGTGTTTATTTAGAGCAATCAAACTTGAGACTAACCGTCAGGACGAATCTATAACTCTAACTCTCTCTCATTTCTTCTATTGTACTGAGTTAGGTGGGATGTTTTGAGAACAGAAGCCATCACTCACTTTCCCCACCACAGGCTGCTCTGTGAGAGGCGTCTGCGCTCCGTCTTCAGCAGGACCGAGTCCACGTCGATATAACAATCATCATCTGTCTTCAGCAGCAGCTTGAAGTCAGTGTTTCCCACTGACCTTTCACACGAATTCACACGCTTCATTACAAACCACTCATACATTCAGCAGCCAAGACAACAGAGTATGAGACACGACAAAACCCTGAGCGTGTCCATTAGTGTGGAGGAAATCTCAGTTACCATAGTAACCCTGACTGACTGACTGACTGACTGACTGACTGACAGGCAGATTTCTGTCAAGTTTACCAGGCAATGTTAAAAATGTCAAAATCAGTCAAGTATTTTTAGAATATTTCCAACCCCAAACATTTGGACAGTTGAGTGTGTGCATATAATGTTTTGTTTTTTTTTAGAAATTCATATTTTTATTCAGCAAGGAGGCATTAAATACATTTGAATTGTTAGAAAATATTTATATATGTGTCCTTGCTGAATAAAAGCATTAATTTCTTTGAATAAAAGCATTAAAAAAATCTGTCCCAAACTTTCATTATAGTTTTAAATGATTTGAAATTATATTTATATTATATTATTGAATTCGTTTTTATTTTTATTTATTCATTTTCATTGTAATTTTTAAGTTTTAGTAATTCTGTTGTTTTTTCTCTTTTTATTAGTTTTTATTCATTTTATTTCATTGTTATTTTAGTACATTAAGTTAAACATTTAATATTTTTAAATTAATTATTAACCATTAATTATTTTATTTTTATATTATTTTAAATTATATTTATATTATATTTATTATTTAATTAGTTTTTATTTGTATTTTTTCATTTCAATTGTAATTTTTGTTAAGTTTTATTTAGTCATTTAGCAGACGCTTTGTTGAATTCTCCAAGCATAACTAGGGGAGTATCATCCTCAGGAAAGTTTGAGAGCAGCACATCTAATTCTTCCACGAAGTTACCTAGTGGTGCTGGGGGTCGATAAACAACTATAAAATGGATTTTAAGAGGGTGGGTAATAGTGGCTGAATGTAATTCAAAGGAGCTGTTGATACTCAGAGATGGTAAAGGATTAAATTTCCAATCATTAGAGATAAGCAGACCAGTACCTCCACCTCTTCCAGTCAGACGGGGGGATGGGAAAAAGAGAGATTATTTGAGAGTGCTTCAGGTGTAGCATTGTATGTGGAAAATAATGTGTTTTTTGAACCTTAAACCACATAAACACATTTCATTACACCAAATACTGTTCTTTTTAGCAGCATCATATGACCCCTTTAAAGATACTGATGAGAAGAAAGCTTAATTGTGATGTATGTTTAAAAAAAAAAAAATCATAGAAGTTTGTTCAAAATACTAAACTCTGGGACTGAAAGAGAGACTCGTGCCATTTCTACAGACCAGAATATCACAGAGACTCTTCATTTGGGCCATTAAAGGAATAGATCAAGCAAAAATAACATTTTCTATATACTCACCCTCAGGCCATCCAAGATTAGGATGAGTTTGTTTCTTCATCAGATTTGGAGAAATGTAGCAATGCATCACTCACTCTGCAGTGCATGGGTGCCGTCAGAATGAGAGCTGATAAAAACATCACAATAATCCACAAGTAATCCACAGCACTCCAGTCCATCAGTTAACATCTGGAGAAGACAAAAGCTGAAACAAATCCAGCATTAAGACGTTTTTAACTTCAAACCGAGTCCATAATCCATAATAACACTTCCTCCAGTGAAAAAGCCCATCTGCTGTTGTCTCTCACATCAAAATCTACCTAAATATTTGTTTAGAGCTGTTTAAACGGTGCTTGATCTGTGCAGATTTCTCTCCTGATTCAGACCAGAACACTTTTTCACTGGAGGAAGCCTTATTATGGATTATGGACTCATTTTTTAGCCGGAAGCAACGGTTTGAAGTTAAAAATGCCTTAATGATGGATTTGTTTCAGCTTTTGTCTTCTCCAGATGTTAACTGATGGACTGGAGTGGTGTGGATTACTTGTGGATTATTGTGATGTTTTTATCAGCTGTTTGGACTCTCATTCTGACGGTACCCATTCACTGCAGAGAAAGGGATGCAATGCTACATTTCTCCAAATCTGATGAACAAACAAACTCATCCTAATCTTGGATGGCCTGAGAGTGAGCACATTTTCAGATAATGTTCATTTTCGGGTGAACTGTTCCTTTAAGAATCCCTCCTGAACACCTTCAGCATCACTGTGGGACGTTTCTGCACATTCAAGCACACTTCACGTTATAATATAAGCAAATGAACAGATGTTGTTTCCCTCACAGCTCCAAACTTGAGAACCCCTCCGCCGTTACTCAGATGGAGCGCAGATGTGTTGACAGACATCAGGCCTGTCGAATCCTGAGCCTCCCACAGAAGAGTTCCTTCAAAACCCTGCAGATGAAGACGAGTTCACAAACATCACGTCCTCCAGCGCGAGTTAAATCAGCACTGATGCTGCAGTACGTGTTATTCAGCATTCAGCTGCATTACTGATGTTTAAACAGTCGCTAGACATTATAAATGCTCTTCTCTCATCGTGTCACCTTGGGGAGAATGAACTGCTCGACGGGCTTGTAAAACATCCCACCCACACGTGTGCCTGGACTCAGCGTGCTGAAGCAAGCGGTGACCACCGGCTCCTGCAAACACACACACACACACACGGCTGTAAACGTGTCAACAGGAACACCACAGCTGCAGAAGTTGATGTTCTCAGAATAAACGGTGACACACACAAATCAATATGTGGCCCTGGAGCACAAAAGCAGTCTTAAGTCGCTGGGGTATGTTTGTAGCAATAGCCAACAATACATTGTATGGGTCAAAATTATTGATTTTTCTTTTATGCCAAAAATCATTAGGAT